GCGCCCCGGCGCGAGCCCTCCACGAAACAGCCGGTGAAGTGCGTCTGACGAGTTCGATGACGGTTAATATTTGCGTGTTTTTTTCACACTCGCTTTCGGCTGTTATTTACCGCCATCATCCGCACGCGCGAGCTGTCACCATTTTCGGCTCAACCGAATTCGCCCAGCGCCGGCGTCACTGCGCTCTGATTGGCCGAGGAGCGATCAATCGCATGACGACCGTGTTCTGATTGGTCGAGACGGCGATCGGTAGCGCGGTGGAGGCGTCCGTCAGGTTTTAAAGCTCCAGAGGCGGGGTCAGTTGAACAGATTAACCTTGTCCATAACATGATCATTTATTTATTTATATATTTTTTACATTTCATAAGCAAGCGCATATAAAATTAACAACAGTGGAAAAGATACAAACAAATGTGTGAACAAAGGTTGAAGTATGGACTTTGCAGTTCATGGTGAAGTAGCTTACATACAGTATGCTTACCCAGCATGCTTTGCGACTGGGCTCTAGAGTTTTATCCTACCACTTAATAAGATTCAGTAAAATGTGTTGGGGGAATTCACATTTTCACATTTACTGTACTGTAATATCGCAAGTTGTGAATGCGTATTACCACGTAGTACCAGAATTACAGCGACGTCTTTCGGTTTCGAACAGAATGTGTTTGCTAGCATTGCTGTGATTTGGGTCATGCTAATTTAAGCTCATATGTAATCTAAGGCTGATTTCATGTGGCTTGGCATTCAGCCACGGTGTGTTCTGCTCATGCATATTCAAATGAACTGGTCTTTTCTAGCCAATTCATCTGTTCTGCATTTGGTAAATGCAAATGTGGTTTTCCTGTACGAACGCCAATAAATGAAGGCCTTCATGCGTCTTAGAGCTAACCGGTGTCGTTATTTTAAACGTGTTTGTTTTGGCGAAACTAACTGCTCTTTAGCGCAAATTTTCAGGAATGGTTCGTAACGGAGTTTTTGTTTCAGTTTAATCGTTTCGTAAATTGATTCAGTTTTGAAGTGTTCAAAACACACTGGCGACCCCTGCTGGTCAGGAAGAAGCGAACGCAACCAGAACCAATACTAACTTGTATAATGATGCATTTTATAAGAAAAATGACACTTTTTCATGAAAGTGTAATATATTAACGATAAACCACAAATCATTACTTACCATTAAGTAAGTGCCTGAATAATTGTTTTATTCACTGGTAGTGTTTGTTTTGTGTTTTCGAGAGGGTTATCAGGCCAATGACCCTCTATTTTTCCATTATACGTAAGCGTTTGTCATTTAAAATGGATTCAAGATAAGTTAAAACCACGTATTAGATTCGAAACGAAAGGTCTGTAAATATTGATTCAGGGTTATTAGTTACTAAAACCACAAAAAAAAAAAAAGTTTTGTTACGACATAAATGTTTGTTTTATTTTATTTTTTACGTTACATTTTATTTTAGCTAGTTGCCAAAGCAACAATTCTCATTTTTTTTTAGTTTGTTGAAGCGCTAAAATAAACTAATAAAAATGACAAAAGACAACAAAATTACCAAAGCTAAAATTGAAGTGAAAACATAAAATAAAAAATCGAATTCAAAATATCAAGAAAAACTACAATGGTATTTCAACGACACTGAAACAACACCACATTCATTTTGTTTTGATAAAATGATTACAATTCAAATTGAACAGTTTATTTCACAAACACAAGTGTAAACACAGAAAATAAGCATCCAGAGCCACAAATAAAGTAACAAAGGCAGGAACTGAATCAGTCATTTGTGAAATGCTCCTGTTGCTGGTATAAAGTTCTCTCAGAGACTCCTCGCAGGACTGTAAAGAGGGCTGTGTTTCCAGATGCGGTGTTTGCGTGGGTTGAGTTCAGGTCTCAGCGTACGCCGCTGCCTGGCAGCACCTGCTGTTTGCGCACTTTACCGAAGAGCTCCAGGTACTGGCTCATGGTGTCCATGCAGTCCACTGGCGTGTACAGACCCTCGGCTTTATTGGTGAACACAGCCGGCAGCTCGGGCGTGCTTGAGCCCAGAAAACTCTGCATGAACTCCTTCATGAGGTTCCAGCAGTCTCCAGGAATCACGCAGGCGCAGTACTCCACCTGCAGACACAAAACGACGATCACTGCACGGTATCATGCGTCTCTGAACACTGTTAATCAGAAAAAACAATGGGTCTCATTCACTAATAATTGCGTGGATTATTCAAACTTATACTAATTTCTTCCCACAGAACATTTCTACCTAATTCACAACACGTGTGAACATGAATTAACGCTGTTGTAATGTTAATGAATTTGGAATAGTCTACAGGTCCGTTCACACCACAAACGATAACTATATAACTGTGACGATAACTATATACTATATACTAACGATAACTATATTAACATCCACACCAACAGAAAGTAACGATAACAATAGCGATTAACGATATTGGCATCCACGCCAACAGACAATAACGATAACTCGGCGATTAACGATATTAGCGTCCACGCCAACAGACAATAACTCGGCGATTAACGATATTAGCGTCCACGGCAACAGACAATAACGATAACTCGGCGATTAACGATATTAGCATCCACGCCAACAGACAATAACGATAACTCGGCGATTAACGATATTAGCGTCCACGCCAACAGACAATAACGATAACTCGGCGATTAACGATATTAGCGTCCACGCCAACAGACAATAACGATAACTCAGCAATAAATATTAGCGTCCACGCCAACAGACAATAACTCAGCGATAAATTATATTAACATCCACACCATGAGACAATAACTATAATGAATAATGATATTAGCATCCACACCAACAGAAAGTAACGATAACAATAGCGATTAACATTATTAGTGTCCATGCCAACAGACAATATAACTCCGCGATTAATGATATTAGCGTGATATATAGTTATCAGACAATAACTATAATGTTAAATATAACAATTATCCACACCAACTAATGATAACTATATTAGCATCTACACCAATGCACGATGTTGTTTATTCTAATCGCGCACTGCAGTTTTGTCATCTGCCGCTTTAAAAGTTCGCATTTTTTAAAGAGTGGATTCTGATTGGCTGTTAATGTTTTTATCGGTCATCAGCTATCTTCAGACTATGATATTCTTACTAAATTAGAATGATTATTAAATGATGATTATGTTTAATAGCTGGTATGAAGTTTTTGTGAAAGCAGTATGCGATTTTTACACACGTTTGTTTTCAGTCGCTCCTACATTTTTCTTCAATTTTAATAAATTGGTAAAGTTATTAACGAATCACAGTTTATTCGTACGAGCCCTGTTGAGCACATTCAAACCTCGACTGAAATGCCTCTGGCGCTGGAGCTCATGGCGACGGTGCCGATCTTCACCAGGAAGTCGCAGTAGCGGTAACGTGTGCCGCGGCTCTCCACTTTATGTCCCTTGGCGTTCTGGAAGTGACTCTTGAGTTTGACCATCAGGACGTCGAAGTTGGCGTCGGCGGTGAGACCTGGGCCGCCTTCGAACAGAGCCATGCTGCTCAGCGGCGTCTCGGAGTTATGCATCACGTACAGCAGCTTCGACGGCTGACCTGCAACACACAAGGAACGTGTGGTAGGTACGGTCTAGTTTCCATGGCAACATACGGCGGAGCGTCGCACTCACCGGTGGCGTTTCCCGTGGCGTGGTACGTCTCGCAGTCCACCCAGAAGTTTCCCTGTTTAATGGCTCCCAGCTGCTCCAGCTTCTTATGCAGCATGTCGACCGTCTGCTGCACGCTCTTGCCCTCCGCCACCGGCACCTGACACACGCTAACACACACACACACACACACACACGTACCATCAGGAAACACGCTAGAGGCTCATATTATCATGCTACCTGCCAGATTATAACAACATTCTGAAACTGTAAAGTCTGCAGCACTGTGTTAATGTGCTGCTAAACTATTAAATTTATATATGTTGCCATAATGTGATCGCTTTAATCTACATTTATATTATGCAATAAAGCAAATTTAAAAACAGAAGAAAAGGCTTAGTTTATATATCCTTACATATATATATTTTTCCTTAAATACATTAAATATAAACTCATAAACTATGAATAAACTAAATAGTTTTATATTATCATATAACTTGCCAAATTAAAATTTCACAGAAGAAAATGTAGTCTTTCATCCAAATAATTAAAAACTTGTGCTATAAATTTTTTTTCCCCTTAATTTGTATTAAAATACATTTCAGTTTGTGTAATACTTATTGCAATAAGTTAATTTTGAAAGCTTTTTTCATACAAAACAAACCAAAGAAAATTATTTTATAGATATAAGAATTCTCATATATATATAGAATAGAAACTATTTTCACTCAGAAATTGCTAGCAATTTTCAAACAATAAAAAACGGCAAGTTTTGAAGTAGAAAAACTGAAAAAAATGTTTCCTTGTAAAACGCACTTCAATAATCTTTGTTTTATTTTCAACATCAAAAATAGCTTTCACAGATAAACAATTTCTGACAGACGAAGAGCGTTTTGTTTCTTTCCAAAGCCTCTCAGTGCATTCAAGATATTAGAATAATTTATAAGCACCGGAGCAAAGAAATCGAACCATTAAAAACTAAATTTACAACAATAATATAAAAACAAGTGTTTTCTCACCACGTTACACCCATTTCTTTGGCACAAACTTCCGCGATCCGGTATTTACTTCCGGATCAATCCGGCTTTCGTGAATAACCCAAATTCAGTTAAAGTGAAAAACTTTAATCGGACAATACATACATATCTGAAATTATCTATATAATTCAATAAAATGATCGCAGACGCACTGAAACATTGATTGAGAGCAGTGTATCTCATGTGGACCGAGTGCTGACCGGAAGTAAACAGTGTGACGCAGCGCCGCTCTGAGATCAGCTGTTATGAGCGCCGCATAAAGACTGAGATCTGCGCTCGATTCGCTCCTCTGACCTCAGATCAGCCGCACACACACACACACACACACACACACACACACACTGCGCCATTTGCTTCAGACACACGTGTGTTCGGCGCTCAGCTGCATGCCATGAGTTCAAGCCGGAGGTAATAATACTAATAATTGATCGTATAAATCCTCATCCTCATCATCCTCATGCCGAAGGTGAAGAAGAGCAGCGGCGCGCTGTCTCTGGCAGATCAGATCCTGCAGGGAGACGCGGTCCGGAGCAGCGGCCGCCTGAAGAACCGGAGCCGGAGCCGGAGCGAGGAGGAGCAGGAGTATGTGGACGAGAAACTGTCCCGAAAGATCCTCCAGCAGGCCAGAATACAACAGCAGCAGCTGCAGAGCGAGCTGGGACTCACTCCAGACACCAGGAGACCACCAGCCACTCGACTAGGTGAGCCAACTCACCTGACCATCAGAGACAGACAGACAGATAGATACACAGATAGATAGACAGACAGACAGGTAGATAGATATGTGAGTCTATATAGTCTTTAGACAGTCAGGTAAATATTAATGATTGATATAGATAGGCAAATAGATATATAGACAGACAGATATTTACAAAGGATATTTGAGTCTATATAGTCTACAGATAGATAAAGACAGACAAATGTTTGATATGTAGACACAGACAGATGTTTATGATATACAGACATGGATATATTTATGATATATAGACAACCAGACAGATGTTTATAATATATAGACACTACAGACAGATAT